ATGTAGGATTTATGGCCGTGTGCCCATCTTGCGATGACATAGTTCCGTATTGAGGTTGTAAGTGAACAATCAGCCGTGGGAAGCAACACGATTTTATGGATTTTAAAGCTTGTTTTCTTGTTTTGTTTCTTTGTTAAGTGAAAGTTAATTTCTGCCAAACTTTTATTCATACCGTGATCACTGATTGGCAATAACCTCACTATGTTTTAAAACACTGTCGATAAAATGTGTTAAGAGCGATGGCACAAATAATGGTTTTCGTCACAGTGTCTGGAAATTCCGTGTTAAATAAGTTTCAAGAAGGTTGATTTGTTTAAACTTGTGTGTGTGTGTGTAATCTTTCTTTATCTGGACCAGGATTTATACTGTCAAAAGCACAATGTTCCCACATCGTAACATCCATAAATTTACTTGGACATCTCCTGATGGGAAGAGACACAATCAAATCGACCATATTTTGATAGATAGGAGGCGGCATTAAAGTATACTTGATGTCCGATCATTCAGGGCAGCAGATTGTGATACTGAACACTACCTGGTGGTGGCAAAGGTTAAGGAAAGACTGGCAGTGAGCAAACAAACAACACACAGAGTTCATATGGAGAGGTTCAATCTCAAGAAATTAAATGAGGTAGAGGGTAAAGAGCAGTATCCTGTTGAAATTTCAAATAGGTTTGTGGCTTTGGAAAACTTGGACACTAAGGTGGGTGTTGATAAAGCTTGGGAAACTATTAGAGAGAATATCAAAATTTCTGCCAAAGAGAGTCTAGGTTATTATGAACTGAAGAAGCATAAGCCATGGTTTGATGAAGGATGCTCAAAATTATTAGATGAAAGCAAACAAGCCAAACTGCAATGGTTACAGGATCCAAGCAAAATGAATGGGGATAATCTGAACAATATAAGACATGAAATGAGCAGTCATTTCTGGAATAAAAAGAGGGAATATCTGAAAGACAAAATTGATGAGCTTGCAATGAACAGTAAGAACAAGAACATTAGAGACCAGTATAGAGGAATAAATGACTATAAGAGGGGTTACCAACCTAGCAATAACTTAGTGAAGGATGAGAATGGTGATCTGTTTGCGGATTCCCACAATATTTTGAGTAGGTGGAAGGACTACTTCCCTCAGTTATTGAATGTACATAGGGCCAGTGTTGTTAGGCAAATAGAAATGCACACAATTGAGCAGTTAATACCTAATCCCAGCCCTTTTGAGGTATTGAAAAATTGAAAAGGTATAAATCGCCAGGTAATGATCAAATTCCGCAGAACTCGTTCAAGCAGGAGGCGAAATACTACATTCTAAGATTCATAAGCTAATTACTTCTATTTGGCATAAGAAAAATTGCCTGATCATTGAAAGGAATCTATTATTGTACCAGTTCACAAGAAGGGTGATAAAAACTGACTGTAGTAATTATCAGGGGATATCACTGCTATCAACTTCATGCAAAATTTTATCCAATATTCTTCTCTCAAGGTTAAGTCCATAAATAGATGAAATTATTGGGGATCATCAGTGTGGGTTTTGACATAACAGATCAACTACAGATCAGATCTTTTGCCTTCGTTGGATATTGGAGAAAGAATGAGAGTACAATGAGAGTGTACAACAGCTATTCATAGACTTAAAGAAAGCCTATGATTCAGTTAGGAGGGAAGTATTGTACAATATTCTGAGAGAGTTTGGGATACCCATGAAACTAATGTTTAAACGAAACTTATAGTAAAGGCCATATAGGTAAATATTTGTCTGATAAATTTCCTATCCAGAATGGTCTAAGACAAGGAGATGCTTAATTGCCACTATTTTTGAACTTTACTTTAGAAAATGCCATTAGGAGGGTCCAGGTGGAACTGAAATTAAACGGGACACATCAGCTGTTGTTCTATGCCGATGATGTGAATCTTACTTACTCACTCATGTAGATGAGCCCTTCTTGAGGAGCCACCAATTCTGCAGCTACACAAGAATTTCCCAGCATTTTATGGAACCCGAAGGTTCACCACCGTGTTCACAAGAGCCTTCCACTGGTCCCTATCCTGAGCTAGATCTATCCAA